GGGCTATCATTTTCAAACGATAAAATTGACACGTATCTTATCTGGAAGCATTATTAGAGCTTCCTTACGTTGGTGTTGGGAATATGAATGGAAATAGCATATAAGCATAAGCCATTCAGTTAAAAAATGTTGTAAGCATTAATAATTTCCTCTTTCGATGGCGGTCTTACACATGGCCTCCTTGAAAAGCAGGTGTTTTCTTTTCATCTCAATTATTTTGTCTTAGATTCTAGTTTAGTTAGGTAGTTAGTTTTCTCGGAATGTAAATTTAATGTACCTGAAGGAAATACCGTGTATTAATAAAGCTACCTTACCTTACCCTACCTTTATAAGTAGAGTAATTGTTATCTTAAACTGGGAGAAAACAGTCCATTTGACCTCGCAAAAGTTTGTAAAAAGCTGTTAGTGTTTATGGTATATTATCCTATCGCGGGTTCGACTCGCGCTCACACCTCGCCACCGGATGTCCTCTGACCTAACCTGAGACGTCACCGGATGTCCTCTGACCCAACCTGAGACGTGACTTGACAGAGCTATTACGTCACAATAAATAACCGGTTGCAAGGCGCGTGACTTTGAGGACCCTATGCTTATTAACATTTCTTGTTAATTCACAAACCCACGGATCAGATAAATCTATTTGACGTGACAATCACTGTGCAAACACTTGTTGGTTGTCAGCCTGTGAATTACGATCCCGGACTGAATTCAAGCAGTTTCGAAAATGTGTGGGGAAGAGTTTCGCTTGAGAAATTTTAAATTTTGGCATCCATTTCAACGAGACTTCTCGGAATCGAGGGTAAGTTGAATAAGAAGCAAATTACACATTAATCTAGGCATTGAATTATGAAAAGAGTGCATTAAAAATGTGGCAAGAGAGCTCACTTTACTATTTCCAAAACTCAACAGACTCAATCAGTTTCGTACATTATTAACAAAATAGAGATCGTACGAAATTGAAAGGGTGTTCATTTTGAAAAATTTCGGTAATATTTTCATTAGAATTCTAACTCGGCAGCTTTGCCAATCTCTCCCTAAAAGATCCATATTTGTCTCAACCTTCAGTAATTTAGGCCATCTCCATAAAATTATTTTCATAATCTAACCTATCTTTAACATTTCCTGGGAAAATCAAGGAGATGGAAAGAACGTCCATAAAGCTCGCAACTTCGTTATTGTTAACAAAATTTGCATTTCAAATTTCACTAGAGAAATTATAATCTGTTTCTATTTATATATCGCCTACGCTTGGATCAGAAAACAGCTGAAGAACAGCTAACAAACTAATGCCCATAACCTAGCTTTTCCTGAGTTTAGGCTTTCTCTCCTTTTTTTTTCATCTTCTTGACCAACCAACCCAACCGCTCTAACTGTAAAATTGCATTCTTAGGGCACTTCGTTGTCAAGGTGATAAAGCTGTCTTCTCTAAATTTCGAAAGACGTGCAAATTAACGAGACAACCTTATGAAAAACATCTTAAATATCTAACAGATTGCTCCTATATCTACAACGCTATATCGCCATATCGGGAAGACCAAATTTCAGAGTTCTGTATTTCATTGTAAGATTTGTGATCGAAATTCGCTACTGAGATCAAAGATTTTTCACTCTAAGCACTCACTGAGGTGACTTCGAGTTATTTGCTTCCTTAACGGTATTAATTTCTGAAGTGATTTCAACCTTGACCTCATTCGTGAAGGTGTAAGTAGTTTATCGGATTATCAAAATATTGGCTACTTCAAAATTCCCAGCTATTCAAAACAAGTCGTTATCGTGATTTTTTCTCAATATCAAAGGCGGACTGCATAGAAACATTTTGAACAAGCAATTGGAAGGAGAGAGGGGTGATCCAAATGTTCTCCCGACTGTAGAAGAAAATTAAATATACTTTTCCTTAACTCCATACGCAAACAAAAGGATTTACGACTGAGTGAAATCTTTTTACAGACGAAAGTGTAGCGTTGCAATCCTTCTTTGCTACTACAGCTTTACACTCCGATGGTTTCAAGGTTTTTGTGCTCAGTGTAAATGAAAAAAAAATAAAAAAAACAGCTGGAAAACTTCAGTGATGATACGACCAAAAGAGTTCACATTTACATCTAAAGTTGCCACGCAGGACCGAAAAAAAGACTCAGAAAAAAGGAGGAATATCCCAAAGCATGAGAGTATAAACCGTTTATATGCTCTTGCCCAAGGTCAAGTACTAAGGTTTCCACTTTTATTCCATATCCCGCCAAAGCCAACATCTCTGTCTTTTAATTGTATCGATAATAAATGATAATAGTAACTCTTTCAGTCCCAAGATCTTATTGTTAATTCTCCCCTCTAGCTTCTACACATATCTTTATGAATTGGTAGCGAAAATTTGGTGTTAAATTAAGCTAACAACTTCTACCTGATAAGTCTGAGTATTCTCATTACCTGGTGTCTGGATTATGTATGTGTATTGTGGCGTATTGTGTTACGTGTTGATCACTTCTGGGAGTTAAACGGTTAATCATATTGCGTTTATCTGCTTTTTCCTTCTTATTAGTGGCTATCCTTACCTGTTTTTGTGACGTACCGTGTGATAGTCACTGCCTACAACCTTGGATGGCTGTTCTACAACATGTACCTGTTCGGAGCCAAGCTTTTTATTTACCTAACAAACTGGACTTTCCTTATCTTAAACATCTACTTTGTCTACGCAACTACTCTATCCTGTATTGCCCTTTACAAAGATGTAAAGAAGCAGAACGAAGCTGTTCCAAAAGCAAGCGGCAAGGACGGACCAGATGAATACATAGAGATTGGGACTGGTGACGACTCTATTAGCACCGACATCCACGAAGTTGATAATCTGCGGTTGCATCATAAAACTTTCTGGGTCATCTACGTCATCTCAGGAACAGCAGGACTATGGATTACCGCTGGATACTGGACCATTCTCTTCGAAAACGACACTGTCGATGCCAATAACATCACAAAGCATGCGCTCAACTCTGTTTTCATGGTGATTGACACTTTTCTGAGCTCGATTCCAATCCGCCTCTTCCACTGGGTGTACGCCTTGTTGTACTTAGTCATATACATTCTTTTCTCGGTTTTCTATTGGCTGGCTGGAGGTACCAATAATCAGGGTAAACCTTACATCTACTCTGCGTTGAATTACGGTGATTTCCCGACGACCACCGCAATTCTTCTTGTGGTTTTTCTTCTCGTGGTTCTGCCGATTTTGCATCTGATTTACTTCGGTTTAACTAAGTTACGAGATTATTTCTATAAAAAGTATAAAAGCCAATGAAAAAATTAGGGAACACGATATTGTAGACTGACTATTATTATAACGATAATGAGAACGACAACATTTGTGAGGATACTTTTCAAAAACGTTCAACAGGCACATAGGCACAATACACGCTTGGCTCAAAACAGACTTATAATCTCCAAAACTAATAGGAATTTTATACATCTGATTTCAAGAACCATAAATATGTGATATTCTTGTTGCAAATAAGGATCCCTCTTTCTCTCTACTTTAACAGCGCACCATATATATGTAGATAATTATCGATCCTGTTTTTGTTATTTTTGCGTAATGATACTTTGTTTGTATACGTGTGAATGTAACTTGTGTGGTTTGTACCCACCTCATGATTTCTATATATATTTAAATGCATACTGGCAGTCAGTTTCCTTAAACATTTACAACCTAACATCACCATGCATATTCTCCATACTGTTCTCTATACATTTCCTGAGGTGCTGACAAGGAGAATTTGTTTATCAATCAAGAGAATGTTTAGTTGGTGATCATTTCTTTTTTCTCATGACCTTACTGTGTGATGGGGTTATACTATTGGGAGAAATTAGATGCTAGTCACTCTTACTGGCTAAGGGTTTAAACCCGTGGTTAGTATTTTGGGTCTCGGTACCCTTGCACATTAAGTGTAGATTAAAATTTATATGATATGGTTGTATTAACATGTTATGTGGTACAGAAAAACTTTGTTGTTGTTGGAAATAGCTAACAACGATGATGGGAATGATAGAGACATTTATTTATACACAAAGTTACAACTTAGCCAATACTTTGCATATATATAGTCGCAGTCGTATCTGATAGCTACCAAAAATGAAAGTGGAAATATTATATCATATAAAGGAATCTTTTGAATAAGAGCTTCAGCTGAGTTATGAATCCGCAGGCTATAAAAGGTTTTGGTAGATGGTTTGATGATTGTCGACTTAGAAGACTGTTTTTACATTATTTCATTTAAGAGTGAGAAACCAAAGACAATATTAAATCGCCTTCTTCAATATTGAAGCAATATTGAATCGACTTCTTTGCCCACATGTAGGTCTTGAAGATTTAGCTAATATTTTCTGAGATTCTCAATCTTACATTTGACAAATAGATCTTTAAGTGAGATCGGTTAATTAGCTAGATGCTCTAAAAGTCGTCTTATATGTTTAGCTCAGTAGTTGACCTGCAGATGTGATTGCAGAGATTTGTTTTTCTAGATTAATAAAAGGTGTTGGAAACTGTACGATACGTTGATTATTCCTGTTTGATTGACATTTATAACGAGTTCAATGAATGCGCTCTGAGCGAAGTCCATCATATAACGATTTTAATTAAGGTACTGGGGTTCGTTTTACGTACGAGCCCAAACACGATCTA